CAACAGAAATGTATCTAGCCTGAGGAATGTTCTTAAAAAAACCCAGCTTGTTGATAATATAATAATTGTTTAAAAGAACAATATCACTTGTATTTTAATTGTTTTTTATATCTAGCCACATTGCTCTGATTTCAGGTTTCTCTCCTGTGTTTTCACCAGAGGTAACTCTTGACCAGCAGAAGCACTGGGTAGTGTACCCCGTACACTAAGAAATGTACATGACTTGCTTTAAAGAATGTACTGACTGCATTATAAATGGACATTTTTTCAAGTTGGTCATTTGCGTACCATTTGCTAGAGTAAAACTCTTGTATTGCCTGCACTCTTGAACTCTGATCTTGCCATTCAACTGGTTTACATTCAAAGTGCAAGTTAGAATATTTAGGTATTTTGGTGGCTTTTGGACATTATGTTCTCTGCACAGTACTTAGACTGACGGACATAACCTAGAAGGTCAATGTAGAGGTTTTAAATGATGACTTTGCTGCAGTGCAAGCAAAGTGGGAGCGAGTGATTTTTAAATTTATAAATTTCACATTGTCATTTTAAAAACAAAGGTGCTGACTTTCTGCTATTCTCAAAATGGTCACCTTGATAAAGTGATTTAATTACCATGGTTTGAATACTAATAAGTATTTGGATTGCTGTCTTAAAACAGGATCACTGATAATGAATTTTCATAATGTAAGACAAAAATTGATGTTTGAGGTAATAATGCCTTTGTCCATGAATTTGGTTATTTTTCTTAAATAAATATTCCCACTCTGCTTGAGTAGATGACTGAATTCATAGTAATCATGCCTATCTGTAAAATTATAGATAGTTGAAACTTTCTCAGTTGGTTCTATACCATTATCAATAAACTTTTAAATGTGGTTGTATGCAAATGAATGCAATCAAAATGAAAGTGCTTTGACAATGCACCTTCCAGTTGCTGGATTCCCATTTTCCTTTCTAGCTTACAGTTTCTGTGACTTTTATGTAAATGTTACGTTTTTTCGATTTGTTTATGTTGGTCAGTTAGATTGCTTGTTCTGTTTTGTCAGACTATTCTAAACTCCATGTAGCTTGGAATACTAAAAGTATAAATGCCAAGTTTGTTGAAAAAAAAGTAATTGCCTGTATTCCTTGTAAAGGAATGTAGCTAGAAAAAAGCTTAAATTGGAAAAGGTCTTGCACAATCTGGGCCATGGTTTTCCCAGTAGCTGCACTGTATGGTAATTGTCTTGTTTCTTGTGGTTTGCTTTTGGGCCAAATGCTTGTAAACCTGGAATGGTGAGTACTACCCCATAGCAGGTGTATGCAGAATAAGCATGTACCATATGTATGTAATCTGGATACATGGATACACAGGTACTGCAGTGATGAGCATAGTGGAAGAAGCTGAATCGAATCAGCTAACCTAAAAAGTATCTGCTCAGGTGACCTAATCACTACAATATTTTTGGAAGGCTACTTAAAATGTTAGTAGTAGTTCTTGATAGTAGCCTGCAAGACGCAGTAAAATGTGTCTTGCACTAATATTCTTATTCTTGTTTGCCCTAATGTAGGTGTCTCTTCAGTACATATCACCTTTCCCATTTGTAGAGAGAGGAAGCCATACTAATCTTGAATTCAGGCAGAAGGCAGGGCAGAATTGTAGACAAACTGGCTAGTTTGTAAGGTCACATCTCTGCCCTGCCTTCTGCCTTTCCCATCTGTTTGACTTGCTGAGCATTCAGTCTGATACTTTTACCATCTTAAAATAGGCATTCCATTCTGGGACCGTCTTCCATTATACTAAATCAAGAGCAGCACTGTTTACCTTCTTGTGTTTTTTTTTTTTTTCATGGTTCCTTTTACCATTCCAAGATTAAAGTTCTTTTTTTTTTTTCATCTAAATTTAACAATCCTGGGGCTTTCTCTCCTGTTAGATCCTGCAGGTGAGCCGTTCTTGGTAAGTGTGGCAGATCATCAGTATTTCTGCAGCAGTAGCTGATATCACAAACAGAAACTAAACAAGTCAGAACTGGTTTGAGGAGGAATGATTTTAGGACTTGTCTGTTCATTAAATTTAATTGGGATAACTATAGCAGAATAAGTATTTTTAGTATAACTCCCTGTGTAGACATTCTGTTTTAGAATAAAAGTAACTTTTTTCCCAGAATAATTACTACCAGTGACTTTTACTCCTGTGTTTAACATGGAGTTATACCAACATAGCTATAACAGAATAATTATGCCTTTCAGTTTCCCAGAGCAGACTAGCTCTTATTCACTGATAGCGAACGGAAGGGCAACAGAGCAGCATAAGTCTAATCAGGGAGTTCATGTATGGTGACATGCAAGGATAAAATGCAGCTATACAGCTTCTCTGTCCCTCCATACCTCTCCCTCCCCAGTCCTCTTGCTGTGTGCACTGCTTCAGTCATGTCAGCTGCAGTAGCCTCTAAAAAAAGTCTGTAATTCCTTCTCATTCCTGCTTATTTGTCCAGTTTGACTACTGGTTTGTCATGGGACTCTGGATTTGCTTCTATAAGCATAAAAGAGTTTATAACAAATTATAAGTCAGCTTGGGTTGCTTGGACATCAAAATGTGCAGTCACCGTAGAAGCCAAAAAAAAAAAATCTCAGGAAAAAATGGCTTTTAAGAGCCAATACTATAAATGCCAGGTTAGTCTGTTGTGTATAGTTAGCTTTGAGATTACAATGTGAAATGCACAGTACTGTGAAGGGGAAATTCATTCAGTGTACGAGTCAGAATCATAGAAAATTTAGGGTTGGAAGGGACCTCAGGACGTCATCTAGTCCAGCCCCCTGCTCAAACCAGGACCATCCCCAACTAGATCATCCCAGCCAAAGCTTTGTGTAGTTGGGTCTTGAAAACCTCCAATGATGGAGCTTCCACTACCTCTGTGGGTAACCTGTTCCAGTGTCTTACTACCCTCCTAGTGAGAAAATTATTCCTAATATCTAACCTAAACGTCCCTTGCTGCAACTTGAGACTGTTGTTCCTTGTTCTGTCATCTGTCACCACTGAGAACAGTCTAGCTTCATCCTCTTGATGGAGTTATACCACCATAGCTATAACAGAATAATTATGCCATTCAGTTTCTCAGTGCTGAATAGAGGGGGGGGAGAATTATCACTTCCCTTGACCTGCTGGCAACACTCCTGCTGATGCAGCCCAGGATGCCATTAGGCTTCTTTACAACAAGGGCACACTGTTGGCTCATATTCAGCTTATTGTCCACTGTAACCCCCAGGTCCTTTTCTGCAGAGCTGTTGCCCAGCCAGTTAGCCCCCAGCCTGTACCAGTGCATGGGATTATTCTGTCCTAGTGCAAGACTTTGCACTTGTCCTTGTTGGACCGCATGAGATTTCTTTTGGCCCAGTCCTCCAATTTGTCTAGGTCACTCTGAATCCTGGCCCTACACTCCAGTGTATCTGCCATTCCCCTCAGCTTGTTGTCATCTACAGACTTGCTGTGGGTGCACTCTATGCCATATTCCAGGTTGTTGATGAAGACATTGAACAAAACTGGCCCCAGACCATATGAAAAGCCTTGCTAAAATCAAGGTGCATCACATCTGCTGGTTTCCCCTGCATCCACAGAGCCAGTCACCTTATAGAAGGCAGTCAGATTGCCCTTGGTGCATCCATGCTGACTGGTCCTAATCACCTTCTCCTCCAAGTGCTTTGAGATGGATTCCTTGAGGATCTGCTCCAGGGACTGAGGTGAGGCTGACTGGTCTGTAGTTCCCTGGGTCCTCCTTTTTCCCTTTCTTAAATATGGGCATTATGTTTGCCCTTTTCCGGTTATCCAGGGCCTCTCCTAATTGCCATGAATTTTCCAAGTTGATGGCCAGTGGCTCTGCAATCACATCGGCCAACTTCCTTAGCACCCTTGGGTGCATCCCATCCTGCCCCTTGGATTTATATATGTCCAGCTTTTCTAAATAGTCCCTAATCTGTTGTTTTGCCATGGTTGCCTGCTCACCTCCTCCCCAAATTGTGCTGCCTGGTGCAGTCATCTGGGAGCTGACCTTGCTTGTGAAGACTGAGGTGAAAAAGGCATTGAGCACTTCAGCCTTTTCTGCATCCTCTGTCACAAGGTTGCCTCCCGCATTCAGTAAGGGACCCACACTTTCCCTGATTCTCCTGTTGCTACTTACATACTTGTAGAAACCCTTCTTGTTACCCTTGTTAGCTGCAGCTCCAATTGCGCTTTGGCCTTCCTGACTTCATTCCTGCAGTGACGAGCACCAGGACAAACCATATCCTGTCCACCTAAAAGAAAAAGTACAGGAACCCACAGAATAAGTTAAGATGGGGATTTGAATATTCTTTATACATGTAAAATAATATTTAAAACTTTGTATTGCTGTGTAAAGTCCCTTCCTGACACCTGATGGGGGGGGCCAGTAAGGGACAGGCTTTCAGGCATCTTTTTATCACAAGAGCTCAAAGCATCCTCTCTTGTATTCTACCTTCCTCTTTGCTAGTAGAAGTAGGGTTGGAGTGGTATTGTAGCCATGATGGTCCAGGAAATGATAGAAGCAAGGGTTCTTTTTATGGTATTTTTATTGGGGCAGCCATATAGTTGGAAGAGATGTGAGACAAGCTTTTGAGCAGAAAATACCCTTCTTTAGGTCTGGCTTCTCTCACAGGAGGAGGATAATGTTAGTTTGCTTGCCTTGTTGGCCACTTATTTCACTTAGTCTGTCTTAAGCCATTTTATTAGTCTGCCCATCTCACTTTGAAATTCTCATCTTTAAATTAAAGGCATATCCATGCTGGATGCTGGCTTTCATTGCCACTGTTCCCAACATCTGAGTGGAAGGGAAAAACAGTTGTATGGAATCCAGTGAGTGGAAGGTAACAGAGTAATTGCATTTCAAAGCATAGATTTCACTGAATGTGGAAATAAATTGTGCTGGAGATTTTTCTGTTGTTCAATTCCTAAAATGGCCTGGGAAACAGAATTTATTTGCCCTTCAGTATGTTTAGCTTTAAACCACTTGATTTTTTTATATAAGACCATATTTACATGCAACTTATTATTTGTAAACGTAATGCCTTTCCTGAAATGCTAAGGTCTAGAGAATAAAAAGATGTTTTAATTTTGAATCACTTAATTCAAAGAAGCACAATGCACTGTATGACTTTTTAGGGATTATTAAAAAAAAAACACTTCAAAAAGTATAAAGACTCTTAATTCTTCCAAGGTTAAATCTGTTATCTGCTTCATTTAATTACTGTCCTGGATCTAGCCTGTGTAGGACTGACATTCTAATGGTTTAGGTAGCCATGTAATTACACTAAAATTGCAAGCAATAAGCTATTTTGAACAAAGCTAAGAAGCTTTACATTTGGACAGAGTAATACTGTCATGTTTGAACCAATGATGGTTTTTCTTTGGGCTCCTTTGACTTAACACAACAGCTTCTTCGACTTCTTAACACAACATGTATTTAGCTTCAGTTCTGGGCTAACGGCATCCTGACTGTCAGTTGGGAAAATTTCTGTAAAATGGAGCTTTTTTTTTTAAGTGGATTACTGAGGTTCTCAATTATGAAAAAAATCTGCAAATTGAAGTATATTAAAAACAATGGAAATTGATGTACACTTATGAAAACTATAAAATTATCTAGACTTTATCATTTCAAACACTTGTTTTGGTTCTGTTTTGTTTTAAGAATATGCATGCCAAATGTTTGTCTCTTTCGATGATTTGTAATATACATTTTTTTGACTGGAAACTTTTTTGTACAACCCACTCCAATAAATGTTTTGCATTTTATTTGTCGTCTCCTCTTATTTGAAACTAACCAAATTCCAGTCAAAGGCTGAGAGAGATGTTGCATACCCAAGGATGTTGCACACCCACGTAGAGAGAGGATAAGGAGTGTCATCGTTGCTATTCTGTCTCCTAAGAAGATCTGGTGTGGTACAGGGCTATAAATAACCCCTTTTTATTTTGAAGCAAATATGCTGACCTTAGTCTTAATGGCTAATGCTTAAGAAAAGCAAATATAAAGTTAGTGTGGCAGCAGCATTGCAACTGAGGCTGGGATTTCAGTTGGTTTTTAGACCCTGCTTTAGAAACCAATTTTTGCTTTTCTGAGCCCCTTTTCCTAAAAAGACCAATAATGGGATAATTGGGATTCTAGCGTTTATAGCCTCCCACCTAAGCCACAAACTTTTTTCCTCATGCAGTCTTTGGTGACTATCAGTCTAAGATGGGCTTAAAAAAATCACCAGCCTGGATATCTATCTCAAACAACCAAATACTGTCCACTGGTTTATGGTCCTAGCTGCTGCATTTGAATTGAATAAGGTTGTTCCTGTTTACTTGGCAGTATTGGTTGGTTTAGAGGACACTACCTGCATTGAAGTCTCCTGAGTTATCATGTTGGGTCTCTTAACAAACATCTGTTCACAGTAAATGCTTAGTACCTGGCATCCCCAATGCATTTGCTGAGTGTAAGTGATCAATACTCCCCTCGAGGTACATGCACATCTTAATTTTCTAAGTGGGCAAACTGAATGAAAGGAACACACCTGAATTACTTTAGGCTTTTTTGAAAGTATTGTGACCTAGGGGGTAAAGCCCTGGGCTAGGACTGCTGAACATGTGGATCATGGATTGGCCTTCTGCGTCATCTGGGGCCTCGCCAATGATATCTCTGTTTATTGGAAGACTGTCATTCTCGTATCAGGACTGCCAGCGACAAGAGTACTGGACCGGGACTCGGCCTGAGTTCTGTTTGAAAGTCTGATGTACTGTAACCTTGAGTTTCTTCTGATCCAATCTGTTTATACCAATTCCTGCAGTACCTGGATTTTTCTTGTAGATCTACCATTCAAGTCTTAAATGTGGCTGAGCAAATCTCACATCTATTTTACAGTGTATCTGCATAGTTGAAGCAATTGCTTATTTAAAAGTTCTGTCTCATACAGAAGCCAGCTGTGTCTGATCCTTTTGCAAGAACAGAGCAAAACAAAAATGAATGGTTAATTCTTGGCTTTTTGAGGGGCAGCTGATCACTTGATTTATAACTCAAATTAATTGTAGACAAGGACAAATTTTACAGGTTTGGAAATTGAAGGGTTGAGTTAAGCTTGCCACAATAATCTTTGTCTATTGGTTTAATTTCCCAGAATGGGGAAGAACTATCCAAAGTTCACCTAGAGCCTTTTTACTGCTTAGCTGGTAAAATAACTATCATCCTAGCAATAGATTCATGGTGCCTGCAAAGGTGACTGAGATATTGCAGTAATATCAAAGCTGTACTACAGCTAAGAGTTCATCAAATAGAACATTTCAATTTATTGTCTTTGCTAAATGAAAGGAAAAGTAATCTTTAGAATTTACTGAACCCTGAGACTTGCATAGTTTTTCAAGACTGCTAGTCCTAAAGGATAATTCCAGAAGCCAAAATACGTTAGGAATCTGCGGACAGGGTTCTTTGGGTAAATGTGGTATCTTTTATTAGACCAACTAAATCACTGGAAAATTATCCTTTGCAAGCTTTTGGGAACCAACGCCTCAACAGCCCTTACAAATCTGCTGCTTCCAAGAGGTCTTACCTAATGCTGTGTGTGAATTAATTCGCAAATGCTGAGCATCAACCCTTAAAAACATGCTTCTTGATCAGGAATGAATGTGATTCTAAGTCTTTAAAAGGTCCCTTATCTTTGTACACTGGTCTCCATTTGTACAACTCTGCTGGTTAGAAATGTGAGAAGGACCTTCCAAACTAGCTCTGCCAGCAGCAGTAGTTAAGTAGCCCTTGCGAAGGCGTGCCAGCTCTAGCCACTTAAATCTTCCGGTGGCTTGCCTTGGCAGTGGTAGTGCTGGTGTTCCTTGTGTTTAGGGCACAATGATTAACAACATTAAAAGGAGCTTGGTAGGTGTGTGGGAGCCGTGGTAGACCTATGCTTGCAAATCTCTTGCTAACGTGCCCACAGCTCCCTGGCATTGTGCCGCCAAGGCGTAGATGCTGCATCTTCCATTCAGCGAGAGCCAGGGGGGCCGCTGCTGAAGCCGGCCTCCCGCGTGCCCGGCGTGCGCAGGGGCGGGGACTCGAGTCCCCTCGCGCAATGCCAGCTCCTCGCTTGTGGTTCGTTATCATGGCTGTGTATCCACCGCGGAGCACTAACGGAGCGGGCCGCGCTGCCTTTGAGCACTCGGGCTGCCTTTCCGAAAGCTCCGGCTTCCTGTCGCGGGGCCCGCAGGACCGCGATCGCTGCCGCAGACATCCCGGGCGGGGCGGGGCGGGGCGGGGCGCGGCGGTCCTGGGCCCCCTTT